CTTTGGTGTTTATTTCTCTTATAAATTAAAAACAACATTGAATTCTATTTGTAATAAAGAGATTTAATGAAAATTTTACAGACAATGGAAATCATTCTATGTAGGGGCAGAAAGGGCACAAAGCAGGATCTCTATGTTTCAAGTAGACGGGTAAAAGAGAGTCCTGGAGCCCTTGGTGACTTTTTCAGGCTTTTATTGAGATTTTACCAGGTACACACGGCAGGTGTGGGGGGAGGTAGGAGGCTAGTGGGCCTCCGGCCCCCGCAAATCTTCATTCTTTCTGTGCTCTCTGGCGTTCTCTCGTGGTCTCATTCTCTCTCTTCTGCTTCTCTTTCCTTCTGCCCTCTTTGTTAGTTTTCGTTCTGGTGGTTCCGTTCCGCTCTCTTTCTTGTTCTTTTTCTGCTGGTTCTGTTCCGTGCCGTCACCCTTATATGCCCAGTCTCAGCCCAGAGGAATCCTGCCGAATTATGCCCACATCCTACTCCAGGTGCCTGCCATCAGGTATGCAGTCAGGACCGCAGGCATCCATCATCAATCCTAATGGCCAGAGGGCAGAAAAGCCTGACAATCATTTACCATACATTCTAGAATTCAGAACATTATAAATTTAAAGTCATCTATCTTTCAAATTAGCCACCAGCTATAATCCTCAGCATTGATTTTCTTGCCTTCTTCTGTTTCGAAAACAATAAATTGTATTAAAATTCACTAAAACTGGAGAGAATTTTAAGTTTCCCAATTTTACTTTAGCCCTCCTCAGCTATAAGACTTTGAATCTCTTTCTTTTTTTTAAGATTGATTTATTTATTTATTTATTTAAATAAATTTTATTTTTATATTCCCCATACAATTGCAACCCCCCTTATTTTGACCCCAATCCCTCCCCTCCCCGCCCCCCCACCCCCATAGAGTGTCTCTGGTTCATAGTTTTTTGTTGATTTTGATTTTCACTTTCTTATAGTTATTCATTTTCCTGGTCCCTTATTTAAGTTTTCTAGATTTATTTATTTATTTACACAAGCACTGGGTACTGTCAGAAGTGAGGGAGGGTGAGAGAATTCACCATAGCCAGAGCAGGGAACAGAACAGGCAGACTGATGAGATACACTGCTGAGGGGAGCAGCGGGCCAGGCAGAAGAGGTCTGTCGAGCCATGTGAGACCCTTGCTAGTGGCCGGGGATCGAACCGGCACTGCAGAGGATGCACGCAGCTTTGCAGCCTAGCGCTCAACTGCTGCGCCACCAGGGGAGGCCCTGAATCTCTTTCTTATCTTAGAAATTAAACATTAAATTGGTGAAATGACTCAGGACTTGTAACTTTTATTTTAAAGATTTATTTATTTGTGCATACAGAACTGGGGTGCAGGCCAGAGGTGCAGGAGAGGTGAGAGGTTCACCAGAGACAAAGTGGGGAACAGAACAAACAGATCCACTGAAATACACTGTTGAGGGGAGCAGTGGGTAAGACAGAAGAGGTCTGCTGCACCATGTGGGTCACCTCCCTGGCCTGGGATCTAACTCCTGCTGTAGTAGCTGGTGATAGTTTGATAGTGCTGTCTTTAGCCCCTGTACCACCAGGGAAGGCCAGGATTTGTAACTTTTAAATAATATATTGTTAAATACATGCTCTATGGAAATGTGATTATATAATACTTTTTAAAATGATAAAGAAACAGGGCCTCCCTGGTGGCGCAGTGGTTGAGCGCTGGGTTGCGAAGCTGCCCGCGGCCTCTGCAGCACCAGTTCGATCCCCGGCTGCTCCCCGGCCCCCGGAGGAGGGTCCCACAAGGCACGCAGACCTCTCCTGCCGCCCGCTGCTCCCCTCAGCAGTGTACTTCGGTCCTTCTGCCTGCTCTGCTCCCCACTCTGCCTCTGGTGAATTCTCTCACCCTCCGGCGCTTCTGACTGTACCCAGTGCTTGTATAAACAGAACAAACAAATAAATAAATAAATAACATGGCTCTATAAAAAAAAAAAAAAACACAAAAAAAATGATAAAGAAACACAAATAAAATAGAACTAATAATACACCTAGCAAGACCAATATAAACAGCTCATCTATTACAATCACTACCTGAAGGCAATGTTATGCAAATTCAGTTTCAAGGCCCTGGATAACTTTCTCAATATTGGCCTCTCAAAAGCTGTATATTGATATTTTCAAGAAACTACCAGCATACTTCACCTTGGAAAAGTAATATTATAAAGATACTGCCATTAGTAATTTTATGTACTTCTATATACCATTCTTGAATTTGAAATAATGGATAAGTCCAGGTAGTAATTTTTGTTCTCTTTCAAATTTTATGACTAAAATATTGAGTTGTGTTTTATGGCCTACATTTATTATATTCTGTAGAGTCAGCCAGCAGCTTTAGGCAAAGAAAATCTTTGGAGTCTGGAATCAGTTGCAAAGAAATCAGAGGTTCAAAATGAATAATCATATATTGCAGAAGCGTAAGAATTTTCCAAAGATTCCTAAATACAACTAAATATGGCATACAACAATAATTTTCCAACCCTCTGTACAGTTTCTTTTTGCTTTGTGGTTAGGGTAATTTTCTGTTCTAGTGTGGGCCAGACTTGTTGCTATAATATTTCATTTCCTTCAGAGCAGTTTTGGTAGTTCATTTTGCAGGAAGAGCTTGCTTAGCAAATTGTACACTTACAAAGGTAAGGAATTTTTAGTTATGAAGAATTCTTATAAGGTCACAGTAATTATTCAGTTTTAATTTCTAAGAGACTAAATAAAAGAATGAAATTTAAACAGTGGTGAACTTAACAAGACCATTTAATATACAACAGAGCAAAACTCCAAAACTGCTTTAGATCTTTCTTTTTAAATTTTAATGGGCCATAATCAATATGTTATTACTTGTTTAAATATAATGAAAACTTAGTTCTACTGGTGAAAAAGATGGAAGAGTATTCTGATTCTGATCTGAATTGTAATCCTGCTGAACTCCTCCTAACTTTTTTTTGCTTCACCTTGGACTTAGAGCTATCAGTTACTTAATAAACTTTACTTTCTTCATTTACCAAAATGAAGCTTAAGACTAAACCTGTCTATGATAATTGTATTTGTTAGAGCATTTTGAAAAATATTATATAAGCATTTATTAAAAGCACATTTAATATTCATGGGTATAAATATTACAAGCTAACTAGGTTGTACATTTGGTTTATTTTATGATTTTTAGCATCCTCTAGCTTCAGGGTTCACCTAAATACATCTACACCAGGGCTCTCTTTATGTTGTATTTGACTAAACAGATTTACCCTCATTTTGAGCACTCACTGGCCATTATTGACGATGACTAAATTTGGGTTTGAATATCATAAAAAAATTCAATATGCATATATTCCATCATACTACAGAGGCATTTGAAAAATGATTTATTTTCTTTGTATTTAGGTCAAGTGCAGGCACAAAATTATCAAGTGTGCTTAACCTCAATTTAGCCTCTTACGTACATAAGAACAAATGCACCATGGATTTTCTTTGAAGAGGTCTGTGGTTATTAGGTTTAACTTGCTTTTACATAGGGAACCTTAACTAGCCTTTCAAATGTAAATGAAAAATATAAATGATGTATTGTTGCCACCAATAAAACAAATGCACAAGACAAAATAAACACATACTCATTTCAGCTTGTAGGATTTGCTTTTCAAATTTTTCTATTTGCAGTGGCTTGGTGGGGGGAGGTTGTGGTTGGGCGGGGGTAAGATGAGATCACTTCTTTCCTGTCTGCCAAAGGCAGGCTGATTTCCCCAACCCACGCGGACACTTGAAAAGCAAATCTAGCGTGCCTGAGTCTCCAGACTCGTGTCCTGCCATCTGTGGGCACACACGCGGCCGGGCTAGTAAACTAGATGGGGAAAGACACGGCTGGCAAGGCATCTCCGGTTCCACTAATGAGATTTTGTTGACGATGTAGTTATCCCTGTGCCTGCCGCAGCTGCCCACTGGATAGGGAAGAGAAAGGGAGCTCGACAGAGTACGCAGTTGCTGCCATCCACTCTTTTTCACATGCATGCACAGTACTACTCTCCCCACGTGCACCCCGAGTTCTGGGACACACACACGCGCACACACACGTGTGCGCCGCACTTCACGCCGCAAGAAGCGACTGTCTCCCGCGTACCCCAACCTCTCCGTCCCGGGTTCCCCACCCAACCGCGCTCCACGTGGGTGCAGCCCCGCGCCGGCCACAGCCCCCCGCCAGCCACAGCAGTGGGCGGGAAGACGCGGCGCTGGGGTCGGACGGACAAAGCGGGCGTCCAATGGAGCCCGGCACAACCGCCCCGAAGGGCGGGAGCGGCCTCTGCCGCGCCCAATGAGCGGGGACCCCGAGTGGGACTTCCTCTCGCAGTCCCGTTGGCCAGAGGGCGGGGCCGTGGGACACGTAGGGTGGGTGGGAGGCGGCGGCGCTGGGGCTGGGGCAGCCCCTTCAGTGACACGCTCGGTGTCCCCCTGCCCGGCGGAGACAGCCGCCCCCGCCCCCAGCCCCCCCCCCGGCCGGCCGCGCGCGGGGCGCCGCTTGGAACCGGGGTCTCTTTGTTGGGCGCGCCCCCCCCGCGCCCCCCCTCCTTTTGGTGGCAACTAAGTCAGGCAGTGGGAGCAGCCGCGAGGGGCGGGCGGGGAGCGTCCGGGGCGGGACTCGGAGCGCCGCCTGGGACCGCCGGGCCAAAAAGTGGGGAGCAGGCGGGAGCGGCAGGCGGAGTCGGGGGACCGGCGCGAGGACCGCGGGCGCACAAGTATGCGGAGGGCCCCCCCTCCGGCCCGGGCACTCGCGGGGAGCACGCCGAGCAAAAGTTTGGCGGCGGCGGCCGGGACGGCGTCGATGGCTGCGCGCCCCGCGGCGCGCGGGGGCTGAGGCGCCACTTCCCCTCCGGCCCGGCTTTGTGTCTCGCGTCGGCGGCTCATGCGGCGTCCGGCCGCCTCCCGCGGCGGCCGCTGCTGAGCGCGCGCTCCGGGCGGGGAGAAGGCGCGGCGGCGGCCCGGGCGGCCCCGGCGCAGCGGCCCGGCGCGACGATGGGCAACGGGATGTGCTCGCGAAAGCAGAAGCGAATTTTCCAGACGCTGCTGCTGCTGACGGTGGTGTTCGGCTTCCTCTACGGGGCGATGCTCTACTACGAGCTGCAGACGCAGCTGCGGAAAGCCGAGGCGGTGGCGCTCAAGTACCAGCAGCACCAGGAGTCCCTCTCCGCGCAGTTACAAGGTTCGTTAACGGGACGCGCGGCCCCGCCCGCGGGGAAAGTGGCTCGGGGGAGCCGTGGGCACCCCGGACCTTCGGGGACGGCGGAGGCGAGCCCCGCGGGGCGCCCGGGGCCCGGGGTGTCGGGGGGCGCGACTCCCTCGCGGTCCCGCTTCCTTCCGCGGCGGTTACTTTTGAAATCGGCGTCAGCCGGCGGCCCCGCGGGGCGCTGCGCGGGCGGGTGCGGAGCCTCGAGCCGGGCGCTGGTCCGGGCGCCGCAGCCGCCCCGCACGCCCGCGGGGAGACCCCCCAGCGCCCTGCCGCCCGGCCGGAGTCCTGCTTCCCTCAGTTCTAGGGTTTTGCTTTACAGTTAGTTGGCTTTGTCAGTTGCCTCAGAAAGAGGGAGGTTAGCAGAGATTTTTCAGACTCCTGGGTTTGTTTCACCCACCCCCAAGTCGTGATCTAGCAGCCCCCACAAATGGCCCAGTGCAGTTGAACCTAGACCGGCTAGTTCTTAGTGCTTATTTCGGTTAACTGAATAGGGGGGCTGGAGGCGGTGATGTGCTGGCCACGTCTACACTAATGCTGTTCACCCTCCTGCAGGAATTTTTTTTTTTTTTAAGAAAAGATTGTTTGCCTTCCTGAATATCTCCCCCCCCCCCCCCATCTCAGAGCTGGGGGGAGGGAGTGTGGGATGAGGTGGGTGTGTGTGTAATTTACAGTTAGCCTTGAGGAGTCAGAGAAGGGAGACAGTTTTTCACTTTGCCAGACACAACAAACACTGCTTGAGCAAGAACTACAGGAACACTTAAAGCCTGTATACTGTTTTAGAATCTCATTTAATGTAAATTTCAGAAACATAAATGATGTATAACTGCAAAGTAAGCACCATGTGGTCTTGTTGAGTGCATCGCTGGCCAACCTATACATATTTTTGACAGCTTTTACTTGTAATTGTGGTTAGTTTTCAATACTTACGCAGTTCTCCCCCAACCAAAAAAAAAAAAAAATAATGATAAAGAACTGTTGAGTAGTAAAATGTTGACAGCCTTTGCTGATAATGCAAATATAGCTATTTTATATTTACTAAGAAGCGGCATGCTGGGTGAATATTTGTGTCAGTGTTTGTGCATACAAATATAAAACAGATGCCTTTCTGTCACTTCAGCTATTTTGAGTGTTTCATAGTAAAAAGAAAAATTTACGATGAAGGAAAATGATCCACAGCTGATTGCTTGGTCTTATTTACTCTTCCCAATTTAGAAGAAAAGGAAGTATTCTTAGCTTACTGAAGCTACAGAGTTACAGGAGTGAAAATACATGAGCTGTGCTTGGTTCAAAAGGAAAAATTGTTTGGATAAGCTTAGGTTCAAGTTATTTTTCCTTAAACTTGCTGAAATTACCCATGGATTTTTGTTGGTATATGAGTTTGGTTGTTTATTTACTCATTTATTAAGAAAATATCAGCAGCTTTCCTGTAACCACTGCAGTGTTGCTAGACCAAGGGGGAAAACTGCCTCCAGTAGTACAACAGCAGAACTGGACTTTCACACACAGGGTTAAAAGGGTTGTGCACGGTGGATTAAATGAAGTTGGTGCCTTGTCTTATAGTTCAGGAGACCCTGAGAGCAGGTGCTGTCATGTCCACCAGTGCATCCTCAGCACTGCGCAGTTACTGACACTCAGGAGAGAGCAGTACACATTTGTTCAATCAACAAAAGCAAGTCATCCTAATTGTGGTGAGAAAATGAATTCCACTCACTTCTGTTAGCTTTCTCAGGCTTCACTTGTTTCTCTTTTTGAAAACCAAACAAAGTGCATACTCTTTTGTTCATTAGATCATTTGCCTCAACTGTCCGTAAAATGAGTTCACTAAGAGGCTAATTTCTGAATCATGGCTTTTTATTTGCAGTATTAAGTTGTGGAAATCGTTCTGTTTCTTCTTTCATTTGCCTTCTTTTGGTGGCAGAAGCGGAGGTGAGGGGTGGTAAGCAGTGTTATACAGACTGTTAAAATCTACATTTGCTTTGTAGTAGGAGATAAAACTTTTTATCTAGTTTGAGTGGCCTAAGTCTGTTTCTTAATTTACTTTTTTGCCATTTCCTCTTGAATTGTGCTGCTGCAACAGTTGCAGTACGATTGTGCATGAGACACTATTTCTCAAGAAGGCTACAGGCTCTTCTTTTTTGGAATGGATTCACAATTGACTTCTGTTGCATTTAGTTTGGATTTCACATCTGCAGGCCATTTAATGAAGATTTTCTAATGATATGCAGCTTTTTCCTCCCCTTTTCAAAGGCAAATAACATTTATTTTTTTTAAAGTTTTTTTTTTTTATTATTTATTTATACAAGAACCTGGGTACAGGTTAGATGCGCCGGAGGGTGATAGGATTCACCAGAGACTGAGCGAGAAACAGAACAGGCAGACTGACGAAATATACTGCTGAGGGGAGCAGCCGGCCAGACAGGAGAGGTCTGCCGCGCCACGTGGGACCCTCCCTGGACGGCGGGGATTGAACCCGTGCAGCAGAGGCTGCAGACAACTTCACAACACGGTGCTCAACCGCCTGCGCGACCAGGGGAGGCCTGTAGATGACATTTTACTCAGTAGTGCCATATATCTGCATAGGTGAGCATTTGCATCTCCATTCCTAAAACTTGTTCAGATGCATGAGATCTAGTGACCAGATTTGGATTAAGGAAACAGTTACTTATAAGTGTCCCCCTTTTTTAAAGACTATTGAAAAAGTTTAAGTAGTTAAGATTCTATAATCTGTTAATTTAAGTGAGCATATTTAGGTATTCTTCAGTTTTAGAATGGGTGGCGTTCCCAAGATAATTTGGAAAGTAGGTTATGTTGTGCTTCCCTGTGGCACAAGGGGTTTAGACACAACCTATGAAGCTATCTGGAGCCACTGCAGCACAAATTCGATCCCGGGCCTGGGAGCTACCCACATGGCACAGCAGACCTCTCCTGACTCACCCGCTGCTCCCTTCAGCAGTGCATTTCAGTTGATCTGCCTGTTCTGTTTCCCTCTCAGTTTCTGGGGAATTCTCTCATCCCCCACACCTCTGGCCTGTACCCCAGTTCTTGTATGCATAAATAATTTTTTTTTAAAAGAAAGTAGGTTATGTTAACCCTAAGTGCATTTTGAGGTATAAAAGTCCCATAAACAGGAGATGGAGGGCTTCCCCGGTGGCGCAGCAGTTTGAGCACAGTGCTATGAAGCTGTCTGCAGCCTCTGTAGCACGAGTTCGATTCCCATCCAGCCAGGGAGATTCCCACATGATGCGGCAGACCTCTCCTGTTGCACCAGCTGCTCCCCTCAGTAGTGCTTTTGGTCTGTCTTCCTGTTCTGCTCCCCACTCTGTCTCTGGTGAATCCTCTCACCCTCCTGTGCCTATGGCCTGTACCCCAGCTATTGTATAAATAAAAAATAAATCTTAAAAAAAAACCCCAAAAATTATTAAAAAAACAAAACAGGAGATGGAATGGGATGACATGGGAACCACTGTCCACTAAAAGAAATGTCTCTCTGCCAACCTGTCTCCCAAACACTGTACCTTATTCTGAGAAATGGGACACAGGTCACATACTGGTGGCAGAGGCAATAGTAACAACCTTTGACCAGCACAGTGTTTATATTACTTTAAAAACATTTTTTTTAAAGAATTTATTTATTTATACAAGCACTGGGTACAGTCAGAAGCACGGGAGGGTGAGAGAATTCACCAGAGCGGGGAACGGAACAGGCAGACTGACGAAGCACACTGCTGAGGGGAGCAGTGGGCGCGGCAGGAGAGATCTGTGCGCCATGTAGGACCCTCGCTGGTGGCTGGGGATCGAACTGGCACTGCAGAGGCTGCGGGCAGCTTTGCAACCCAGTGGTCAACCGTTGCACCGCTGGGGAGGCCCTAAAAACATTTTTTTTTGGTAAATCCTTTTTTAAGCTTTTGAGAAAACTAAGTGCCCCAAACCAGATGAGTGGATCAAGAAGATGTGGTATATACCACAATAAAATATTACTCAGTGATCAAAAAGATAAATTTGTAGCAATGTGGATGGACCTGGGAGAGACTACTAAAGGAAGTAAGGTAGAAGGAGAAAAACATACTTAATGGTGTCACCTATATGCAGAATATAGAGAAGCCAAAGGGTCAGAGAAAGCCAAATTAAAAAACAAACCTAACCCTTGAAAACTGTAGAAGTGAGGCATCCAGAGGGAGAAGGGAAGGGGGTGTAAAGGGACTATGGTGGCAGACTGTGGGTGCTTTGGTACTAGATGCATGATGGTAACTACACCTGAAGGTGGGATTTCGTAATTCTAAAAGATCAAAAACCATGTAAGGCAACATTATTTCAATTAAAAAAAAATTACCTGTTTTCCTGTGGGCCATGCACCAATCTCAGTGTCTACACAGTGATTCTCAGCTTTGACTGCCCATTAGAATCACAGGCCAATTAAATCACAGTCTTTAGGGTGGAACCCACCTGGCATTTTCCCCAGGTGATTCCAATGTGCAGCTGAAGTTGCAAACTACTGCCCGAAAAATCTTAAAACTGAGCCATTTCACCCATTTACTTCTTCCTGGGCTATAAAGACATTTGGATTAATTATTTATTTATTTTACCCTAAGCATAAATTTAAATTCTTGCTCTGTAGATTTTGTATGACCTGGGCCTCGCTTTTCTTATTTATGTAATGGAGATTAGTTAGAATGACCTATTTCATTAGGGGTATTGTGAAGATAAAATAATACCTATTAAGCTCCCACTACATACCTGGCACATAGTAGGTACTGCTCACTAAAGATTAATTTATCATCATAGTCCCTATTTGAGGTAAGATATTTTATCTCTTTCTCTTCTCAGGTTTTTCATAGTAAAATTTTGAAGTAGTTTGTTTTTATGGGTAGCTACTGACTTTCATAATACCTAAATGGGCCCCAAAGAGAATAGGTAAAATGGCATAAATCTGAGGAACCTTTCTCTGGAGAAGGAATCTTCCTTAATAATTTAAA